CCCCCTTGCCTCTGCAATGCCCCTTTGCCCCCCATATTTCCTGCCCCCCATATTTCCTGCAGCCTTTCCCTTTGCCCCCACCCCTCCCCTGCTGCTGCACAGGGGCCCCTGGGGTCGCGTATGCGCCGTGGACAGATGGATAGGACACATTCCTTGTGCCCTCTTCAAGCAGAGCCTAGCCTTTTCTCATTCTGCTCATCTGGGCTGCAAGGTCGGAGTGAAATACAATGTCTTTCCATTGGGCTTCTACTACGCTCGGTGTGAGGTTCCAGATGTGTGTGTGTGTGTGTGTGTGTGCGCGCGCACGCAAGATGAGACTACTCACGAGACACAGAGGCACAGCACTCCCGGCATGGACTCGCTGTCCCTTATCAGGAAGTTGCCATCCACCCCATCCTTGAGCAGCAAAGTCTCGCAGTCTTTCTTGGACAGAGGGCCGTGGTAACAAGGCAGATCCATGGGGAGCCCTTTGGTATCCCCGAAATCCATCCCCAAGTCCGGGGACGGCTCTGAGGAGGGAATTAGAGGAGTGGCCTTGAGGGGCCTTTGGAAGCACCTCTCCAGCTGGCTGGTGGCAGTGAGGTGACGCTGCCTTGTGGGACCCAGACTATTTCGAAAGATTCAGGAAATGAAAGGGGTGGGGCTGACGAAGTGACCATGACAGTTCAGCCTGTGAGTGGCCCTAGGGTGACTCACAGAAGTGGAGCAAGTTTGAGCACACGGTAAACTCGGTGATGTTCGTGGGTGGGCTGCAAGGCCGAAGCTGAGCTCCCCAGGACGGGGCTGCGGCCTTGAATATCACCCTAAATCACCTGTTTTCTCCTTCTCCGGCTGCTGGTGTTCCTTCCAGGGAGCACACCGCTACCTTTGGCTGCGACCCTTGTCCATTTCTGGCTGGAGCTGCCCATCACTGTGCTACGCTAAGCTCATAACAGGTGCTCAGAAAGTGTTCAGGTGCTGAATGAAGCCAGGTTTGTCCAGATGTAACGGAGCCATTGAAAAGGTAGGACTTCCACAGGTCAAATGGCATGAAAATCAGAAGACATTAGTGGGAACAGAAGGCAACTGAATGCAATGTGGGGAGACAGCCCAGCCCCTGGTTAAGGCTCGTGGCCATTGATGAACAAAGGCCACTGTTAACATCTTCCAGCAGTATGCTTTTTGGAAGGAGCTGGTGCAAGTGGGAGAGATACCTGGGTATGCAAAATCGTTCAGGAATAGTTCTCCAGGTACAAGAAAGGAGTATAGCAGGCTTGGTTTGAATATCTTTGGGTCCTTTGAAGTTCCTGTCCTGAAGGACAGCAGTGATGTGTCCCCATGAAGAAAGACCAAGAAAAGTCTATCCATCCGGAGACACTGAGCCCTCTTTAGTCTGCTGGTATTGATGAGAAAACTCTTTTACTTTCTCTTTCTTGCTTTCTCTGCCTTCCTTCCTTCCTTTTTTCTCTTCTTTCCTTCCTTTTCTTTCTTTCCTTCTCTTTCTTTCTTTCTTTCTTTCTTTCTTTCTTTCTTTCTTTCTTTCTTTCTCTGCCTTTCTTCCTTCCTTTTTTTCTTCTTTCCTTCCTTTTCTTTCCTTCCTTTTCATTCTTTCCTTCCTTTTTTTCTTTCTTTCCTTTTCTTTCTTTCCTTCCTTTTCTTTTTTTCCTTCCTTTTCTTTCTTTTTTTCTTTCTCTGCCTTCCTTCCTTTTTTTCTTTCCTTCCTTTTCTTTCTTTCCTTCTCTTTCTTTCTCTCTCTTTCTGAGCCTTTTCTGCCTTGATCAGCTGATATTCTTGGGAAGGGGGACTTCCGTCATCTGAGAGTCAGATTTAGCTTTAAGAGTAATTTCTATGGCCTTACCCCTGCCCAGCTTTAAGATATAATTGACATATAACATTGTGTAAATTTAGGGTGTATGATGCATTGATTTGCTATCTTTCTACATTGCAGAATGATTCCCACTGTACCATAAGCAAACACCTTCATCTTGCCACCTAATTACCGTTTGTTTTTTGTGGTGAGAACATTTAAGATCCACTCTGTTAGCAACTTTCAAGTATGTAATACAGTAGAACTATCACTATGTACGTTAAACTCCCCAGAACTTATTCAACTTATAACTGGAAGTTTGTACCCTCTGAACAACATCTGCCTGTTTCCTCTAAGGCCTTTATGAACAACCAACCTGTCGACATATTATTAATTAATTAATTAATTTCAGACACAATAAGCCATGTGAGCCGATCTGTAATCCACCATTTTAAATTGGGTCACATTTACTTATCTCCCACAATTACTGTGGTACAATGTCAGTTGGTATAAACTATATGTGAATTTCTTTCTGTATATAGGACTCGCCACACATCTCGAGTGTGTATCTATGAAAATAAGGGGCGCCTGGGTGGCTCAGCTGGTTAAGCATCCACCTCTTGATTTCAGCTCAGGTCATGATCTTACAGTTCGTGGGTTTGAGTCCTGTGTCCGGCTCTGCACTGAGAGTGTGGAACTTGCTTGGGGTTCTCTCTCTCTCCCTCTCTCTCTGCCCCTCCCCGACTTGCTCTGTCTCTGTCTCCCTCAAAATAAATAAATAAACTTTAAAAAAAAAAGAACTATGTGCTCATGAGTCATCCTTACTTCTCTTAATCCCTTCTTAAGCAGATGATTATTTCATCTTGTTGCTATGCTTAAGCAGTCCACCTACTCGTGGAAAACTGTCATACATTAAGCTTCCTTGTAGCAGATTTTTGTGCTTCCTTGGAAATCACACTGCTCTGCTGTTGGTGTAATGGAGTGACATTCATCAAGAAACTTGTTATCAGAGAGTTATGCTTTCAAATCCCCATTTTTTTTCTTATGTGGCGTAGGGCCATATGCTATCGAATTTCCTGAGAATTATGACAGGTGAGGAGAGAATTTTTCCTTGGGGAAAGAGGAAACCGGTTACCAAGCTTGATGGGAAGATATTGTTTGACCAAAAGGAGAGGAAATAAGTTAGTGTGTGCTTAAAATCATCATCATCACTGGGGCTTTCTTGCCTTTTTTGTTTGTTTGTTTGTTTTCAAAACCCAGTTGCCCTCATGGTCACTCATCATAAGGGAAATACAAATTAAATCCTTACTGAGGTGACAACTCTTGTCTATCATATCGATGAAAACCAAAACTTTGAAAACATGCTGGGGTGAGATATGATAATATCTCCTACATTGCTGATTGGAATAAAAAATGGTTACAATGGAGAGCCTGCGTGGCTCAGTCAGGTAAGTGTCCAAATTTGGCTCAGGTCATGATCTCATGGTTTACGGGTTCGAGCCCTGCATCGGGCTCTGTGCTGATGTCTCAGAGCCTGGAGCCTGCTTTAGATTCTGTGTCTCCCTCTCTCTCTCTGCCCCTCCCCTGTCTCCTCCTGCTCTCTCTCCTCCTCTCTCAAGAATAAATAAACACACACACAAAATTTTAAGAATGGTTACAACTCCAGCGGAAGAGAATCTGGCAATACCTAGGGAAGTTACATATGCACTTGCTCCCTGGTTGGATCTTCTCACATCCATTTTGTAGTACCTAATGAAATAAATAATTCAGGCAAAGGTTGTCAATGGGTGAGCATTTTAGGCAAAAGTTTGATAATGACATTTACAAGGGAGAAATCAAGCTGTCACCACCTGAACCCCCTGGTCAGTCTTAGCATAACTAAGAGTGGGACACTAGACATTGAATGGCCATGAACTTGAGGCATCAGGAAGCATGCAGCACCACTAGTGACATGTACTTTCAAAAAATGTTGACCTTGCAGTAAATCAAGCCCTTAGAATGAAATTCTATTTATGAGCCCATAATGAAGACGCAGACAGATAAAATCCAGTATGTGGGACATTCGGCAGGAACAACTAACATTGTTTCTTCATAGGTTAATGTCATAAAAATGGAGTCAGGGAGTGGGGTGGGGACAGCTCTAGGTTAAAAGAGGTTGCTGAGGCATACAACCAAGGTAACATGAGGATCTTGTTTAGATCCTGGTTTGAAAAAAAAAAAACAAACACAAAGAAGTTTCCTGCCATTGGGGCAATTTAAATATTGACGGGATGGTAGATGATACCAAGGAAATTGTTGATTTTGTTAGGTGTGGTGATGGCATTGTGCTTATGTGAGTAAACATCCTTAGCTGGGTGATGGTAAGGTTCATTATATTAATGGCTCTGATTCTGCATGTGTTGAAATTTTTTATGATAAAAAGTTTTCCATTCTCATGTTATTCTGATCCACGTCACCTTTGAGAATAGCTGCACATTACACAACAAAGTCCTTAATTTCTTTTTTTGAATTAACTTAGCGAGATGAGGGGAGAGGAGGGGCAGAGAGAGGGAGGGAGAGAATCCCAAGCAGGCTCCACACTGCCAGCATGGAGCCCAATGCAGGGCTCGAACTCAAGAACCAGGAGATCATGACCTGAGCCACTGAGCCACCCAGGTGCCCCAA